AATAACAGACTACAATGGACTGGACCGAAGGCTGACCCAGTCTGGTCTCTGATTATGAAACATAAAGGGACAACAAGGATTTTTACCCAGGAAGCGTTTTCCCATTGGGCACAATGAGCATGTGTACTCCTTACACTCTTTAGTGTGACAGTTTAGCTGATAGATGAGACTGTAATACAGCTTTTTTACAACAAATATTTATAAGTGTCACAGTAGGAGCAGCACAGGTAAAATTAATTGTCTCATGAGTAGGTAGTTTTTCTAATGAATGAGTGTGGTTCAACGAGGTGAAGTCATCAATACGTGTAATGCAAAATAACAAAATTCCTGAAAAGTTTTCATAAATAAATAACCTTGTAGGTGTACTGGCATTTATTAACAGCTATTACAGCATACAGTTATAATATTTAAATTCAACTTAATAAAAAACAATATTACAGTACATGGACGATTAGTTAACTAGTGCTTCTATTATATTTAATAGCAGTTATTCATATTTATTAACATGTATAAATGAACCTCGTGACAATAGACTGATACCAATAAACTGTGTTTATAGTCATTAACAAGTATTGACAAGCACTAATTATTAACTATTTAATGCTATAAAGAAACAATGACCAGCATGTATTGATCAATATTAACTAATCATTGTCCTTCTATTGTCAGGTCTGTCTCAGCCGACCACTAATCTGGTGGCGGGCTGCCTGCAGCTTAACCCTCGGACGTTCCTGCCAGAGCAGACTCCAGACCTACCGGCTCACCTTCCCCCTGTCGGTGCCAGTTCCTACCCCGGACATTTTCCCTACCAGAGCCCCGGGCTTACGGCCGGCCTGCCCAGCCCTCCCTACGGCACCATGGACCCCTCTCACATCTTCCACCAGGTCAAAGGTCAACCCTACGGCCCGCTGGAGCCCTTCTTTGATGGCGTCCTCGTGTCGGACGGCCCGGCGTTTGACCCGCCGCTCAGCCCACCGCTCAGCATCAACGGGAACTTCTCCTCGTCCTTCAAGCACGAGGCTGTCGCAGCCACCGATTACGACAAGAGCTTCTCCTTCAGTGTGCACTATGGAGGCGGGGGAGCTGGAGGACACCCTGCCATCTATGGCAGCGGGGGTTCCAACCCACGCTGTGGTGACCTACAAGTGGACGGGCTGATGGGCTTTGACGGACACTCACACCACGAGCGGCTGATGAACGCCCAGCTGAACGCCATCTTCCATGACTCCTGAGGAAGAAGAGGACGAAGGACTGAGAGACTGATGAAGACAGAGAGACCTTTGTATGGAAAGACAGTCTTGTGTACTTCTATCGTTTTAAAGCTGTCTTTCTGTCTGTCCTTGCTTTTTTTCTTTCTGTCTGCGTCAGGCTCTGCGACTCATCCTGACAACGGCGACGTCGCAAAGATGTCACCTTGATGTAACCTTCTTTGTAGCACTTCATCCTGCGGGAGACGCTCTCTGAATGTCTCGTTATTATCCATATTATCACTTAAAAATAATCAATAATCAATGAGCAATAATCTGGAGTAAACTATGCAATTTTGTTAAAAATCTGAGTGACCCTCAGTATAATAATTCCAAATGTTGAAAGAATAAAGATTTCTCTATTTTTGGGTCAGTGTGTGAGGCAGCGTTGGGCCGGTGATGGGCCGGTGATGAGCTGAAGTGTTTATGTGATTTTTACTTTTTGCTTTTTATAACATTCCTGTAGTGTTCTGTTAACATTTCATGTGACTCTTGTTCATATTTTATAAGATAGATGTTTATAAATACCTTTTATTAAAAGGGATTCAATGTGATCCGTCTCAGAGACTCTCATTATGTGCAGAAAGACAACAAAACAAATAAACACAATGTCATTAGATACAAATAACATGCCAGTTTTGGTCCTGCTGTTGTTTTAGAGCAGTATATAATACTTAGTGGTTACTTTACAAGGTATATACTGTTAAACTGCTTGTTAATGGAAATATCAGCCATATTAGCAGCAACTCCATGCATCTAGCAATTTAGACATTTTCAAGATGACCTGCTAAAGTTCAAACCAAGCATCAGCATGGCCACCACAGTCACCAGATCTCAATCTAACAGAGCACCTTTGGGATGTGCTGGATCGGGAGATTAATGTCATAAAGATGGATCTGACAAATCTGCTGCAAATGTATGATGCCGTCCTGCCAACATGGGCTAATATCTCTGAGGAGTTTTTACATATTTGTGCCAGTCCTGAAGATAAAAGGGGGGTCCAACACAGTACTAGCAATACATACCTAATAAAAGTGGCTAGTGGGTAGATACCTCAAATGAAATACATCATTATATATATATTGATGTATTTTTAAGAATTTATTCAGCCTAATTAATGTGAATAATCTTTTGTTTTCTTAGTCTTTTCTGTTGGAAACACCCTTCAGTTTCAGAAAGTCAAGACCAGGGGTGCCAAACATAAGATCAGGCAAAAGACTACAACCCAGGCCACTGGACAGGTTTATAAAATGTGTAGAAGTGCATAGATGTGGGACTTTTAACAGTATTTTCACAAGTTATACATATTTTCCTATTGACAAATACTTCCATCCCCCATTGTATCTATACTACATCAAAGTACAAGGCTTCTGTAAATTACTGAAAACTTTATATTTAAAAATTTGGAATTACAGGACTGTCTGAGCAATGACTAACCAGAACCTTCTCTGTAAGGTTATACGTTTACTGTAGTTTCACTGGTTCAACCAACTTTGATGTGAAGTGGCCCACATTTTTAAAAAGTTTGACATCCTTGGTCTAGACAAAAACACTGAAGGTTAAATTTTGGAAACCAAATCAACATCCCGAAATCTGAGTTCTTATAAGGTTGCTGTTTAAGGGGTTTAAACTGAGGTTAGGTGTTTTTTCAATGCAATGTAATGAGTGCTTAGCCTGAAGAGGAAGAAATTGGCTGCTCGCAGCTATGCGAGTATTCTTGAAAAATTCCCACAAGATCTGATGTCATAATAACGTCACAAATTTTGCATTGACCGCTGTGTTTAGGCTCCTTGCACAACACTAAACACACAAGGGAGAAATTCATATCTCCTTCCAGAGGAAATCATGCTAATGACATTATCACGCCAAATAAAGGACAAAACTCAGATTACAGTCTCTCTCTCTCTCTCTCTCTCTCTCTCTCTCTCTCTCTCTCTCTCTGTGTGTGTGTGTTTGTGTGTGTGTGAAGGGCACAGATGTTCGTTCTGCAAGCAAGATTTTAATTTATGAAAATGATCTTGTTTATGCATGAGAGCCCCCCTCCACACACTGCTGTCCTGCTGAGTATTGGTGTGTGTGTGTGTGTGTGTGTAAGTCAACAGGGACAATATGGTGGCCATATCCCACCATTTAGCCTTCCTGTTGGTGGAATAAATGGAATAATAATGAGAGAAACTTCAACTAAAGCATGAATAAATCCTGGTCAGAACTACAGAATTTAAACCACAAAGAAAAGATTATATAAGTAAAAAATATGTTTGGTTTTTTTTTACTTTCATTAGACAGGACGATGTAAAAGCAGGTAGAAAATCAGAGAAAGGGTAAAAACAAGTGGCAAAGGCTCTTTTCAACAGTCAAACAGTGGAAGCTGTAATTATTGGTACGGATCCTAAATATCTGGAAGCTCTGAAAACCTCACTTCAAAATAATCATGCTTCCAGTAAAGGGACATTGTGAAGGCAAATGTGGAGCTCTGGAAAAAATCTCAATGACGGCTGCTTGTGTAAGTTGCTCACAGTGAAACTACAAATGCGTTATTACACTCAGAAGGTAGCTTTCACTTTAGCAGCAGCAGCTGTATTATCAGTATTATTAATTAACAGTATTAGCACAAGTCTTTGTGATAGTGGTTTTGCGTTTCAGTCTGTTGGCTGATCATAACACTGATTAATGCAGCTTTAACTCAGCCATCTGTCAGCAACACACACACACGTTTGTGTTGTGGCTCATAATATGGTGTTTATACCAGAGTCACTTTCCTCTTTGATTGGCCGTCTATTATAGCATATAAGGGGACTCATGCCTTGACTATAATTAATTGGATGGATGGATGGATCAAAATGCAGCCAGTCATATCAAAAGTATTGATGCTTTATGTTCTGTTTGCTGTTAACTGGCTTTTGCTAAATATACTATTTTTCTTTTAGTATGAGGGAGGATCTAATTGCAGCTTTTATTTGTGTCTTTTAGTTACTGGAGAAGATGACAGAGTGGAAGCGTCTATTAAGAGACGAATCACTTCCACTGGTTCCATTATACATGAAAGTTATATTATCATAGCATATTGTGGTCAGAAATTAGCTGCAAATCTATGTTTGTGTATAGATTAAATTAGCAAAATATGCTAATATACATACTAATTAGTGAGTTTTAGAGGTGCTAGAATGTCTGTGTTTTCTCCAAGTGAACTCCAAGTCTGTAACTACAAACACATGAGAATGTTTAGTTGGCTTATTGGCCAGATGTATCACCTGTTTTGGAACAGATTAAACACCTATAGATGTGAAAACACAATTAGATTAAAATGCTAACTTTACATAAAATAAAAGTTTAAATCCTCCTTAACTGTCATGTAGTACATTACAGTTGCACCTTGTTAATCAGTCTAGCTAGCCTGCGACAGTGCTAGCTTACTGATTCCCAGTTTTAAAAACAGTGAAAAATAAAAATCGAAAAATAAAACAACATGGAAACATAAAATACCAAACTCTTGAAATATCTTAACGCTATTTAAGGTGTCAAAGGTAAGGTCTACCTTTTTTAAATAATTGTTCTGCTGTTTAGCCTGCAATGTTAATTATATTTTGGTCTCCAGTGACTCCTTTAAATATAATTTAAAAATTTGGATTGCTAATCACATTCACACTAAAATGCAGCAATAAACAAACCTGAGTTTTGAAGCTCACACAGGTGCGCGCGCGCGCTTGTTGATTACACACCAGTGAATCTGCCGCGTGCTCGAACTGTGCCAGTCCGCTAAACTAAAGCCGCTGCCTGTTGCCATAGCGACAAGACCCGGAAATACACCGTGATCAGCTTACTACGTGTTTATCAGAGGGTATCAAACTCATAACGGTAGAGTTTTTGTTGTTGTTGTTTGTTTGTTTTTTGTTTATTTGCTTGTGCGTAAATAAACAGTAGATATGTCGGAGCCCGAGGAGCTGCCGCAGAGAGAACAGCGAGAGAGTACGAAGAAGAAGAAGAAAACGAAGCGGAGTGGGAAAAAGAAGAAGGAGCAGCGGGAAGGAGAGGAGCAGGTGGAGTTTGAGCAGGAGGTGCAGAGGTGAGTGGTTCTTGTGGGTTTCCTCCAGGGTCGCGTTATACACAGAACCCGTTTTGGACCCACACGTGTCTCGGTTCATACAATAAAGTGACATAGCAGAGGAGAGAAAGAGCCGACTACTCGTAGTCAAAACCCGTCTCTTCAGGAAGCTTTTCAAAGTAAAAGCACACCAGTTAAATCCTTACAAAGTCAATAAATAAATAAGCGATTGTGCCAACGTGCAACTGTTACTCTTCCGGTTTAGACATGTTATTGAGGTACTATTTCCCGCAACCCAAATGATACATATTAAACATAAAAAACAATTTAAAATGGACTAATTGACCTTGCAAAGCACATGGCTGTGCACTGTGGTTATGAACAGACTCTAAACTGTTTATGCTCAATAAAATAAATGAAAATAAATTTCTATGAAGAAAAGCGAAATTGCATGCAAGTGACACATTTTAATCCTGCTAGCAAGCTATGACTGATGGACAGCAATTGGTACACTCCCACTATGTTTCATAAAGGGAGATGAAGTATGTCAACATTTAATAATAATTGTTTGGCTCACAACTTCATACCAAACTAATTCTTGTTTTCAAAACGTCTTGGTACTTGGTGCATATCTTTGGTTTTCACCACAGATTTGTTTTTTCTTAGTTTTTATTCATTATTGAATCAATTTAGCTTAAGGATTCAAAGAGGAGCTAGAGAGGAAGTTTGATATTAGAGCACTTTTCAGAGAAAGTCAGATAATCAGTCCCCTTATTTGCATATGTAATCAGGTTACTTCCTCAAACAGATAACATAGAATTAGCAAACACAAAGAAAGACTAAAGAGTAGCTCCTGTCTGTATATACACTCAGCGAGTTATTAAATTAGAAAAGCTATTTTAAAGCAGTGCAGAATGCCTGAGAGTCACACTTCATTATCTTCCATTATATGCTGAACCTTGCCTGATGTTTGTGTTGTCATTTGTAGAAATAAAGAATAAATAATGATGAAAAGGTACAAATAAGGTTGATGAAAAGGTTGATGAGCATTCATCAGAATTTACAAAAATGATGTACAATTCACAATTTCCTGGGGAAGGATCTAGAACGCATTAACAATAACGTTACAGAATTAATATTGCATTGAAATAGACTTTTTTCTGTCTTTCTTTCTTTTATTTAACAGGGACAAAAATCTAAACATGCCAGATTATAGTAAAACTGCTAATTCACATCTGTATTCCCGGGGCAGATCACATAAAACTTTATTACCGTATAAACAATAAAAATACAGATATGTGACAAACACTTATAGAGTAAAATGATATGAAGTTATGCTGTTATGTTTACTAAACATAAACATGTTTTACATTAGAGGTGACACATCTAAAAAAAATAAAGAAAGTGCAGTGACACTAGTAGCTCTTCACACTCTGTTCATACATCGTGCAGTTTATTCCCTGGACGTTGTGTCGTCAGGTAAAAGTCCAGTCTGAAGTAGGGTTTATATTTCATACTTTGCGACTGGTTCTACGTAATACATACAAGTAAACTCTATCCAAGATTATTGAAAAAGGTGTATCATAGGGAGGATTGCTTGGCTATCGAGCAGTTCAAATGAACAGAATTTGGGATGGCAGATGTTTAGTTCCTGTAAGGACAGCAAGACATCTGAGCAGAAACATGCTCAGAGATCTGTAGCAGTAGCAATTCTTTTTGGAACCCCGCCCCCAAAAAAACATTTTTCTGTGTCAAATATGAGAATTTTAGGTCTGTGTCTGTATACTTAATATCTCTGTGTTCATACTAAAGTTGTCCCAATACTTGAATTTCAAGACAAAAAGACAAAACATTTAGATGCATTTTTAAAAATAAAGGTTAGAAAAATACAAACAATAATATCGGTGACAACAGTACTTGTAGTGCAAAAAATATATAAACACCACTGTACTGTTATGTATATATATTTTCAGGTAGTGCTGGGTTTTTAGTGATTTGGCTCCATGTTTTGGTTGTTGAAGAAATTGTTAGTAAGATAGGTTGCCACTGTTTCTAATTCAATGTATACTTTTCTCAGCTTCAAACTTTATGACTAACATAACAGTTTTTAGACACAAATATTATCCTGTTAGAATAAGACCATCTTTTATAAAGTTATAAATGGTCAAGACTGATCATTTCTGCTCCTACATTAATGTTACCATTTTGCGATTAGCCACAGCAGCTAGCTGCTACCACTATAGCAGCTAGCTAATAATGGATAATGTGGCTATCGGAAAAAAGTACCTTTGGCTGCTCTCTCATTTTACAGAGGTTGCCACAGCAGATAGGTCCGCATGTTTGATTTGGTCCTGCCACAGCTCTCCTGACTATCCAGGCTTGGGATCAATGTCATGCCAAAAGTGATCATCTGCTAGCAAGCAGTTGCCAGTTTTTGCCAAAAAAAGATTTTCTGTAACTGCTGTAAAAGACTTGTTGAAGACTTGTTATAATTTATCAAATATTTCTGTCTTGAATGATATAAAATCATTTTGAGTCCAGAAAGAACATTTCTGTTTCAAGCAAAAGCTGCAGCCAGTTTTTGGCAAAGTGCAAAACAGGTATTTTTAAAAAAATTTTTTTACTAGTAAACCCCCGTGCTACATGCAGGAGACAGGAAGCATACAAGCATACTTATATATGCTACGATCATTATAGTATGATATATTATATTGTGACACACCATTCTACTCTGACATTACATTCAGTGCTCAGTTGAACAGTGAAATGTACAAATATCTAAAATTGTGGGATTTATATAAAACATTTGTAAACGCTAGGCAGATGTTGTCGCTCATGGTGCCTGAGGCAATGTGTATGCAAAGTTTCATCAAGTTTTGTTACTTGTCTAAGAGGAGAAAGGGAACGTACGATCAGACATACAGAGATACATCTGCAATAATCATTATAGTGTTATATATAACCTCTTCATAAATCCTGTTTACACAGCCTATTTACCGATATATATATAGAAGGTTATTAGACATAGAAAACATATACAAATTGTCAGACGTTGGTAATCATCTTTTGGCATGACATCGTGTTTGGAGTGCACTTGCTTGAGACCCCCTAAGGTTGGGTTTGTGGCTATCAGGTAACTGCTGATGAAACTAGCTAACAGTGATGTGTGTGTGCCAGGTTAATGTTTACGATAACTGTTCGGTACCTAAATTTTGTTGAAACGGGAGCCTTACTGACCTTTAAAGTCCCCAAAGTGTTGTTCAGTGTTGTGAACTTCAGCTAGGGGACAGGCTGTGTGACGGATGGATGGACAGTTGGATGAAGTTGTGTGTCAGCTGGAGGAGCCAAAGATGACAATGTTGGTATCAATAGTGTTGCAAAAGTGTCTAATCCAATAGTAATTTTTGGTATCAATTATAGTCTGGGAATCAACTTCTTTTTTTTGGACAACCTCATTTTGAGTTGTTGGCCATAGAAACCTTTACCTGAGCTATCGTAAACTCTTGTATTCACCATTTTCACTAATTTCCATTTATTTTCTGACATTTTAAAGCCTAACAGACTAAGCAGTAAAATGATGAATCAACTTTTTCTTCACTTTGCCAATTATAAACATTTGTCATATATATTTATTGACATGATTGATATCTATGACTTCCTATTGGACAAAGTAAACTGTGTGTGTTTATTGTGTGTCAGTGAGTGCGTTGTGCTGCATGGGATCTTCAAACTGGGCAAGAAGAGTCACGACGTCCTGCTCACCCGAACCAAACTGACCTGGACGCCTATCATCCCGGAGAACCCCACAGGTCAGTGTCCATGGTGATGGGTTGTCATGGTGTTGAGTAGACGTGGTAGTGGTGGTGGTGTCAGACAGACAGACTGTGGGTGTTTTTCTCTCTGTATCTAGAAGCAGCTGGTGTTGTAATGGAGAAGTTATCTTGTGTTGAGACCACCTGAAACTTGACATCACGCACACGCACACACACGCACACACAGTTCCATTGTGACACAATTAGCCCCCACCCCCACACCCCCACCCCGGGTACGCTCCCTAATGCTGCAGTGTGCGGGGTTTTTTTTAATTTGGAGGAAAAAGTAACATGTCATGCTAACAGACTAAAGCTTTATCTTTTCAGAATTTCGTTGTTTTTTTTCAGTGTGAAATTGGCTCTTGTAGTTGACTGTGGAGTATGACTACATCTTATCAGGACACTGATAAATCCAATACAGTTTGCCAGACTGAAATCTGCTGTCTGGACAAGCCTGTGTAAAATCATCAGATGTGTTTTTTGTGTATCTAACCCCTGTTTGAGCCGTTTATGTTTTAGCTTACATGTGGGTGAGAAAACAAATGAAAAAAAGACCAAAAAACATTTTTTTAAAATGTTTACATTTTATTCTGTTTAATTCTGTTTCCTGTGATCCTTTTTCGGCCCAATAGTTGTAGTAGGCTCTTTGTTCTGATTCTGAACTGGGTTAAAAATCTTCTGATCCATACAATAAATGGAAGGACACTGCATTTCCCAATGAGAAACTGGAGACGTTATCTAATATATGGTATAATGAAGATAAAAGATCATAATTATACATTATGTCCTGTAACAGGAGACATTTTTAGCTTGTATTTATTTACATTTAAGTAAATTAACTATAGCACTTTAGCTATTAGGAATTGACAGCCATAATTAGAAGATTATGATTGATTATGAGATGAAGTGTATCAGACTAATAGGGCAAGAATTGATATTCACACCTATACGAGGTAGCGTCATCGTCCTGTCTGCTTAATTGTAGAGCTGATTAACCATCTTTATCTCACCTTTAATGATGAAATGGGGTTTTATTTATTTATTTATTGTGAATGCAGTTTGTCTTTAGGAGTTCTGTGTCTTCAAATGACTTTCACTGGGCTTTACACATCACTTGTTAATTCACATTTGACTCTGGCTAGAGTGATTGGATTTGTTGTCCTTCTTGTTCATTAATTCTTGAGGTTTTGAGTGAATTTTACCTTTTTTAGACAGTAGCAGTCGCAGAAAAGAGGAAATCTAGTAAAGGGAGTAGAGGAATGAAATGCAGCAAGCTCACAGGCTCAGAGTCGAATGAAGGACTCATTTACTGAGGGCATTTTTGACTCTGGGGTATGCACGCTACCCACTCTAGTAATCATGCTGTCTTTAACCTTCAGCTTGCATAGCTAAATAAATTAAATGCACCTCAACACTTGACTGAGTAGAAGATCTCTTCCCTCTTTACCCTTTTACCCTCCTTCTTCACCTGTCCTTATATCTACCATCTATACATCCAGGCATCAGCGCTCCATATCTCAGCTACATCTCCAGTATGCAAAACCAAAAGCCAGCCCTGTGATGGCTTTAAAGCTTAAACGACTCTGCTTTATTCTTGTGTAATATGGTGGTATCATTTTGCTGTGAGATTTCTGGTTGAAAACCGTTCAAACAGAACTGGTTAGTGAAGCAGGATGAAGGTGTAATTTAAATGTGTGTGTGTTGTTGAAGCCAATCTGTTTTGCTGTATTTCATCCAAGCTAATGTCATTAAGCCAGCACTGTGTGTGTGTGTGTGTGTGTGTTGGCAGTAGTAGAGAGCAGTTGGTTCAGCCCGTGGGGGGTTATTAGAGTCTCTCAGTGTGAGGAGATTAACACACACACACATACAAACACACACACACACACACATAGTCAGCCTGTCAGCATGCTGTGTGTGTGTTGATTAGATATTTCTATATAAATGGATCAGCTGTTATTGTTTGTTTCTACACATAAATCCATCCTGTCTGTCTCTCCGTGTGTCAGGGAGGTGAGATCTGAGCGATCAGACAGTTGTGTTGTGTCAAAGCAGGAACTTGCAGCTGTGCTGAAGAATTTAAAGCCCAAAATGCAGTTAGCGCACAAGAAATCAATGCACTGTTGGGAATCATTATACTGTCAAACACCCATTTTTTGTAATATTAGAAACATGTTTACCTCAAGTTGTGTTTCATGTCGTAAGCAGTGAAGTATTCGCTGGAGTCAATCCTGTGCTTCTAAAGCAAGAAAAACAAAAAAATATTCACATGAAGAAACTGAAACAATAGTGTCCAAATGATGGATGTGGTTTTTATTTTAAACAGAGGGAGGATCGCTATTGTTTTGTTTTGTCTTTACAGTGATAAGCGTAGTACGTTCAGTCAATATTACTTATAGTTTATTATTGTTGATTTAACTCTTCTTTGAACTTTTTCTGTCTTTGTATAGGAAAACTGTAAATAATAGCCTTTTATAACATCATAATTATTAATTTTACCAATTATTATATTATCTAGGTCTCCATTTGTTTGCAGGAAAAGAACAGTATCTGGTTTTAAATAAATCTGTACAGTGATATGATGATACACACAGTTTAAGCACAGATTTATGTGTTCCCACTGTTTGTGAATGTGGCCCAATAATGGGGTGACCTGTGTTTGACCTGATGTCAGATGTAATGTGTGTATTGGTAGAATTTAGAGTCTGTCCAGCAAATAACAAAAATAATGAAAAACTAAAAACTAATTTGAATATTATCCAGATAATATTAGGGATGGACCGATCTGATATCACGTATCGGTATCGCTCTGATACTGACCTAAATTACTGGATCGGATATCGGAGAGAAATAAAAAATGTAATCCGATCCATTAAGTATCACGAAAGCACCTCACAAAACTTGCGACATGGGGTAACTCAGCTCATAACCTCAGTACGTCAGAGCAGTATGCATCACGTGATAGAGCGGCTGTGGCGTGCGAGACCTGTCGGTGGTCTGATTGAGCATTTGGAGCCTCACTACCAACCCGGCATTTCATCTCAGAGAAAGTTATCACAGAGAGAAGTAAAGCAAGCGTGTAAGTTCATCTCTGAATGTTTGTAAAGCATTCCTGCGTTAAGCTTAACAACCGATATATGGAGAGGCTGCCTCTTCTCTCCCCCTCCCTCTCCTGCTGCTACTTCAATCATGAAACTGCTTAATGATCAGCTGATCGGCTTTTCTGTCGGGAGTCCGTCTCTCTTGTTTGTTTTTGGCCCACTTTGCACCAGAAAGAGGAAACCAGCGGCTGAACAACAGCAGCACGTTTAAGCTTGATAAGCTGTTGTTAGAATTAGAAAAGTTGAATCAAAACGTGACAGTGAAAACAAACTTTTTGAAATCATGAAGCACAATTTACCAAAGGGGAGACAAAAACGTTAGAAGTTAACACGAGACGTGTAGAGTATTGCAATCTGATTTTGTAGACACTTCCAGAAACAAATGCAATCTTTTACGTCGCCTCATTCTACTCACTTTTTTTTTTGCAAAGGTCTAATTACTCCTGACTGAGCAATCAAAGAAACTCCCTGCTTATCCCAGTACACCCAACAGTAGTAAAAATGTGGCAAAAACAGTGGTAAAAATGCACATTAATTTCCACTTCTTAAAATTGGTGGAAAACTTGTTTAAAATTTGTTGTAATTTGACTGGAAAAACACTTTAACTCTTCCCATGATACTGAAATGTCAGTTGACCAGAAGAAAGAAGATTGTAGCTGTTTAGGATTATCAAATCCGATGGTGGAGTAATGTATATTGTAGGACTCCAGGAAATGAATGTAAGTCAGTGTAATGTTCTCTGAAGTGATGGAAGCATGACTCCGATCCATAACTCCCCACAGTTACCACATGGCCTGGTCACCATGAGACTGAACTGCCACTGAGAGTGTCTGTATGTGTGTGTTTGGGCCACGCACAGGTGCTTACAATTCATTTTTGCCCATTTAAAATTATTTTAAGAATCAAATGATAGAATCCTCTGGGAAGTGAGTGGATAAATGGTTATTAAAATTAAAAGTAAAAGGAATAATTACATGACTAATGGCACATAATTTTTATATAAATATATCTGCGTCTGTGTGTGTGTGTGTGTGTGTGCGCGTGCGCGTGTGTGTGTGTGTGTGTGTGTGTGTGTGTGTGTGTGTGTGTGTGTGTGTGTGTGTGTGTGTGTG